GTTTTCCCCCCCCCCCCCCCCCCCCCCTTCGCCCCCCGCTTCGCGGCGCATGTGGGTTTTTCGCGAAGAGTGTGACGACCTCATTTCACTATCAAATGTAATGCTTTCTTCACTCCCGCCTCCCCTCGCGTAGAGAACCTCAAAGTTCGTGATGCACACGGCAGGAGTATCACAAGGGCCTGAAAAGTTCTAGATTGATTCAAGTGGTGTGGTGGAAGGCAGGTTGTCTTAATAAGTCGTCGGCCCTTCAAGCAGGAAGGCGTCCGGCACACCCCGGCTTCCTAGATGACTCGGTAGGTACGCGGCGCTGGGTGGTGCGGGCCTTGAGTATGGTCTCCACGAGAGAGGGGATATGAAAAAAAAAAGAGTCCAGAGCCTCACCAACCCAAGCAACAGGGTTCAATAGACGTAAATGGGCTTCCGCAATGTGCGACGATAATTGGAGAATTGCTTGCCTTAGCGATTATTTGAATTGGCTAGGATTTTGGGTCGAGTTAAGTGCGTTGACTCGACCACCAAACATTGACGAAGCCAAAGGCGGAATGCCCCCTTTCCCCGGTGGCCTACAGACTACAAGGGTGATTGATGACTTTAAATCTGCCGCTGCTGCTTTTTATGGCGCTTGTTTTGTCCACGAAGTGATCGTGCCCTTCATTAGGACAGTGCGCGTGCCAACAGCCACGTCGTAAGTCTTTCTCCTATCATATAAGACCACGCCATGAGTTGCTGACAGTGTAAAGGCCCCCTCAGGGATTTTCCAGCTCTCGTCCACTTCTGCCACAGGGTTCTCGCACGATTACATACAAAGAAAATCATTCCGTACTCAAAAGCAGCTCTTCCCTCAATCGCTACTGGCCCTCGCTTTTTGGCGTGTATTGTTGTCGATCGGACGCACAACGAAACGGACGAGGAGCTGCGGCAGTCAACGGATCGACAAGAGGTGCGTTCACCGCTACTCAAAAATCAACTTTACATTTGTTGCACCTAAACCTGCCGAGCGGTGGGGTTGCTACGGGCAATCACCGACAGACGAAAAGCGTCTTCTCCGCGTCGGGAACAAGGATTTTCACCAAGAAAATCGTAAACCTTCCCTAATTGAACCAAGAGGTTGGTGCCATGCGTTTTCTTCGTTGTGCGGACCAAAAAACATCCGCCGCGCCGTCGACTCACTGCGTAAGAAGCACTTCATGCGGCGGTGTGTAGCCTCCCTCCCTCCGGCTTCTTAGCTCAATGCTACACTCGTTATTGGGGTTGCACCCACCGCCCGCTGTGAACCCCGTTGCGGAGCTTCGAAAGTCCTGAGCCACTGCATGGGTACATCGTCTCGCCCTCCCAACCAATGTAACAGCACAAAAATTTGGACACAAGTGATTTGTGTTGCGAACTAAACACAAAACTATCGGGTGGGGGGGGGGACTCCCATGAAATCCGAGAATCGGAATGTATCCCGGTTAACGGTCAATCTACGGGTATACAAGAGGATGATCAGACATTTCTACTGCTAGATAAAAACTAAAAATAAATTAATACATAAATCGGCGCGATCGGTAGTGTTCCGAAAATCGAAAATCGAAACGCCACCACCACCGCCACCATCCACCACGTGATGACCCATTTTTCACTTGTGTCCACCACCGAGTCTCTAATCCAGTCGTCACCTACCACCAAAACGCCCACAAACACAAAGGACGCAACAAAGTGCCCAAAATATCGATATTCTAAACAAGCTTCTGCGACACTTGACAAACAAAACAAAACACAACATGCACGCGAAAAGCAAACGCAGGCAAGGGAATACAAAATACCACCTATGGCCACGCGTGGTGTAGTGGCAGTGATGAAAATATACTGCCACTGTGATTGATTACACCGACAGAGGTCAAAGCAGAAAAGTGACGTTCCATAATTCAAATGCGACGCAAGCACAACACACCTAGGAACTCCTACAACAACGTTTGTGTGCATCAACGGGGCCTTACAAAGTATGAGACAGACTGAATAACGCTGCACCGACCGGACGCAAACGAAAAAATGCGCCGAAGCTGTGCGACGACAAAAGCAGCAGGAAGGACGCAAAAAAACACAAATCGGGTCATGTAAAGAACACAAAAGAAAGCAAGACCAACAGCACTGTAACTATCATAACAACAAAAACCGCTGTAGCTCTCTCACGTCAAACCCAACACTGTGAAAACCCTCAACCCTTTCCAACAGGCGTGTGCCTACACAACCGAGCGCTGTCGCGCCGAGAAAACTGCTGGAAGGAAGGGTGTAGAGGCGACGGCCACGTGCGTACCTACCCCGCACCAACAAAATCGGTCAAGTAGGAAGTTCCCCCACGGGCGGGGCGCCCGTCATCACGGCAGGGTCTTCTCTAGAGGCAACAAATGCTGCCGCTGCTGCCCGTCCCGTCGCGGCGATGAACTGCCGCTAGTGCTGCCGGCTCTGAAATCGCTCCTTCGCCCGGAATCTCTGCCCCTGTTACCCGCCGCGCCCATCGCCGCCGCAGCAGCCGCCGCCACCGCTGCCGCCACCTCACCCTCCGGCAACACCGCGTCGCTGCCCCCATCCAGCGGAAAGAACCCTGCCGCTGCCTCTTGCCCACCCTGGCCCCGAGCGTTGTTGTTGTAACTCCCTCGGTCGCCGCCGCTACTGCTTTTGGCCCAAGGGACAATCTCCTCCTCCTCGGGATCGGGCACCGCAGCGGACGGGTTCGGCGAGTACGTAAGCTCGCCCGACGAGTGGCTGCCGTCCCTTGCCGCCGCCACCGCCACCGCCGCCGCTGTCGCGGTCGCCGAAGCCCTTGCGCTACCTCTACGGCTGCCGCCGCCGCCGCCGCTGCCCGCATCGTCGGACATGGACCTTACCGAGACCGGGCTGTGGGTGTACGACAGCCCGACCAACGGGCTAGAAACCTTCTTGGCCTGGCCGTGCCACGAGTTGTCGGTGCTGCTGCTGAGGTGGCGAACTATCGCCGGAATCGTGCTATTAGGATTGTCGTTGTCGATCTCGTTCGGGTCCACGGCCGGCTGTGCTGGCGCACCGGCTGGCGCGTCAGAAGCAACAGCAGCAGCGGCGGCGGTGGCAGGAAACGTACCGCGCACGTCCGCTGCACGCGGTGAGGACGCGGAGGCTGCGGAAGGCGGTGTTCGGGATGCTCCCAGCAGTGGCGACTCCTCGTCAGCTGCCTCTCCTCTCCCCGCTTCCCGTTCATCACCCGCAGGAGGACTTCTTCGAGAGGATTGCAACTCCCCCCCGGTGCTAATCTCCAGCGCTGGCGCTGCTTCTTCCATCCCTTCCTCTTCTTCCTCCCGCCGCCCCTCTGGCGTTGACGACGCGTTTACGTTTGCACCTTCTTCACCATCCTGATCACCACCATCACCACCACCATCCTGATTGTCTTCCGAAGCTGCCGCCGTTACCACCGCCTCCACCGGGGTTTCCCCCCCCCCCCCCCCCCCCCCCCCCCCCCCCCCCCCCCCCCCCCCCCCCCCCCCCCC